ACCCCGCCCTGCCGCCGGCCAAGCACCCCCACTGTCGGCCCTGTCGGCGCGGGCGCCCCTTGGGCCGCCGCTCTCAGTCCCGGGAGGCGGAAGTGGCCCCTGGACTGCCGCTGACCAGGCCCTCCTGGGCCACCTGTCGTGTCTGTGGAAGCCCTGGAGGCACCGGGGCGACTTCCGGGGGCTCCCCTTGTTTTGCAGCTGGGTGGGGGCTGCGAGCTCGCCATGATGTGCGACATCATCTATGCCGGGGAGAAAGCCCAGTTCGGGCAGCCGGAAATCCTGCTGGGCACCATCCCAGGTGGGGGCCCCGCTCTCCCCACCCCGCGGGACCTACCTGCGAGGGGGAGGGGCGTACGGGGGCCAGACGGGAGGGGCTCCCCCACCCCTGCCCTGGTGGCTGCCTGCCGCCCCGGCACCTGCGGCGATGCGACCTGGAACCGCGTCCCGCAGGCGCAGGGGGCACCCAGAGGCTGACCCGCGCGGTCGGGAAGTCGCTGGCCATGGAGATGGTCCTCACCGGTGACCGGATCTCTGCCCAGGACGCCAAGCAGGCAGGTGGGCCAGGCCCCGCGGCACCAGGTGGGGACAGGCGGGGCCCCACACGGCCGGGGCCTTTGGGGGTGACGGTGACGCCGGGTCCCTCTCCGCAAGCTCGTTGAGGGGCCCCAAGTCCCCTGCCAGACCGGCAGCCGCAGCCTGTCTGTGCCTCAGGCCTGGTGAGCCGCATCTTCCCTGTGGAGACGCTGGTGGAAGAAGCCGTCCGCTGCGCAGATAAGATCGCCAGTAACTCGAAGATCGTCGCGGCCATGGCCAAGGAGTCCGTGAACGCAGGTGACCCCGCGGGCCGCAGCTCTGGTGGCCTGGCCCCGGGGCGGGCGAGGTCGTGCTGGGGGCAGGGAGCTGACGGGCCGCAGCGCCTGTGCTGCCCCGGGCAGGCGGTCAGCCGCCAGTGCCCGGGCGCCTCAGTGGGTGATGGTCAGCGCTCACAGGCCGGACAGCACACTGCCGCGCCCCGTGTGCAGGGGACGCGGGCCCGGCCCCCCCTGGGCCCGCTCCAGCCGGGCGCCGCAGACACTCCTGGTTTCCCCTGCAGCTTTTGAGATGACCTTGACGGAGGGAAACAAGCTGGAGAAGAAGCTCTTCTACTCGACCTTCGCCACCGTGAGTGGCCGCGTCTGCGTGCGGCGCGGCCTTGGCTGACGTGGGCCTGGGCCCCGGGCAGAGCGGGCCGGGCCGTGACCCCACCCCTCCCCACAGGAGGACCGCAGGGAGGGCATGACGGCCTTCGTGGAGAAGAGGAAGGCCCGCTTCAGGGACCAGTAGGGCCGCCTGCTCCCCGGAGTCGCCTCGCCAGGCGCCGACTGCCACCCCGTCAGCTCGGGCCGGACCTTCTGCCACCTTGGTGCACTGGCAGCAGGGCGCCCTGGGGCCGGGCTGTGGGCCATAAACGCCGCCTCCCCGCCGCCCAGCGTCCTTTCTGTTGGGGTACAACGTGCGAGACCAAGACGTGCGTCCTGACCTCAGGGCCAGTGGCCAGCCGCACAGCAGTGCTGGCGCCCGGCCTCGGGCCTCCCGACCCCTCCTGCCTCCCTCTCCGCTCTGGGCTCGCTCGGGCTCAGGGGCGCGTGTGGCTCCTGGCCAGCAGGACGCCGTGAGGGTGGGCCGGCCCCTCCCGAGGCCCCTGCACGCCTCAGCCCCACCCCGGGCGTGTGCCCCGTCTGGGCGCAGAGCCCAGCGGTCAGACCACATGGGAAGGGCCAGAGTGGGCAGCCGTGCGCTCCGGGGAGCAGACGCGGGCGCAGGGCCCTGGTAGGTCCGAGTGCGCAGCGTGGGCGCCTGGCAGGACCGGGGCTGGGGCAGGCTCCGGCCGCACCCCCATCCAGCCTCACGCTGGTCCCCCATGACGCGCCCAGTCTGGCAGGAGATTCCCTCGGGCCTCTCAGAGAGGACGTTGCCGCCCTGGCCTGGGCCTGGACAGCCGGGCCTGCAGGTCTACACAGTCACATGGGCCGAGGGGGGCTGCACCCGCGGGGGCCTGGTACTGCCTGGGGCGGGGCCCCAGCACCTTCCTCCCTGCTGCTCAGCCGGGCCCTGCTGTCCAGTGTGCCCTTGCCTGGTGGCCAGGTGGGGCAGGTGGCCTGGGCCATTGCTGGGGTGCAGGGGTGGCCCAAGCTGGCCGCGTACTGGCAGGTGTCGCCAACTCGCTGACACGCAGCAGGGCCTGCGGGTCTGGCTGACCGTGGCGGCCTCCTGGCCCGTCGGGCCTCCTGGTGTGGGCCAAAGCAGCTGCCGTCAGAAGACAGGCGACCTCAGTGCACCTCAGCGGAGCCTCGGCCCCGCGCTTGCCAGAAGTAAGCGCAAGGGCAGCCTGGCCTGGCCAGCTGAGCCGCAGGGCCTGGGGCCAAGGGGAGAGGCCCAAGGACGGTCCTGTCCCCGCGTTGCAGCCGCTGGGCTAGCACCAGCCTGGGGTGGGGGGGCTGCTCTCAGGGCCCTGGCTGGGCACCCAGCCTGGCCCCCAGAGCCCTCGAGGACACTGATGGGACGGTGCTGGGCCAGCAGGCTCCACCTGGCACAGCCCAGTGCAGGGCCTCCGCTCTGAAGGGCGAGGCCAGGCCCGGGTGGACTGGACTCCACATCAGACAGCTCCCACTGGGCGGGCAAAGTCCTTGGGAGTAGGGCCCCCCGGGTGTGGGCCGGGGCGGGGTGGGAGGCAGAGGGCTTGGTGCTGGGCCCCTGGGGCCACAGGTGCCTCTGGCCTTGGGGTGGGGGAACAGAGTGGCCAGTGCCGCAAGATGGGGCCCAGCTGGGAGCATGGGCAGCCCTGGCCGTGGAGGGGGCAGGGCACCCGCCACGCGGGGTCACGCCCAGCATGGCTGGCCCAACTTCACCAGGGCCCTTTGAAGAGGCTCTGGGGGGACAAGGGCGAACCCCCTCCAAGATCCACGGTCCACAGGGCAGGGGAGTGCACTTCCACACCCCCCTCTGGACAGGGGTTAGGGCAGGAATAGCCCCTGTGTC